TTCGTCGGGTAGACTGAGATTTTGCAAGAACTAGAATCAGCAGGGAGCCAAAATTGTTGCCGTTACAAGAGTCTGCGACAACGTAGAAATAATCCAGGGATTCATCGGGTAAATATAGAAATTGCTTCATATCCCTGTTTTTTCACAATCACTTCATGCCTATATCCAATGACACACAATGAAGAAAATAATAATAAATGAATAACATATAGAAATATAGTTTGTATGCTTTAATATTTACGTACGATAAAAATGTCAACAAAGAAAAAATGGTTATAAATCCCATTAAATAATTTGATGTAGGTTTGCATACAATTCTTTCAGTCAAAAAAACTCAATTCTAGACAATTCTAGTCGCCGGATATTTCTTCGAAAATCTCCGCTTATTTAAACTCTGTACTCTTAGATTTTGAAAAAAAAAATCAACATTCTGCTGATTCCACGTGACCTTTTATTCCAGACTCATGCATTTTGAAATATGTTATCTTTTTTCTAGATTTTTCATTCCAGTGGTAAATACTGGCATGAAAACTTAATATTTTGTTTACAAAGTTTTACACAATACTAGGCTCAAGAGCCACTCATGGTAGAGGATTACTGAATGAGATGGTAGAAATAAGTTAAATGACGCTTTAATTGAAGAGAGTAAGCTTGTATTCAGGGATGCATTAAGACGGGTGTCTACTCCACAAAGTAACAATCCATAGGAAAAATGAAATAATCATCTGTTAATACTCTCTCTTGCATTGATTGGAGTTTCCTTCTTAACCTTTTGTTTAAGGCAGTGTGGAAGATCAACATCTTCATTTTATTACTGTCACTTCTAGTTAAATGGTTTACCCATCTATGCAATTGCTGTGTTTAAAAACGTTCGAGTCAAGTGTTAAATCTTTTCGTTATGAGATTCTGTAGCGCCAGTCTGTAGGTCCTGATAAAGTATTGCTTCTGTAAGGTGTCTTTTAATATTCTTTATATCGGATTATTTTTTTTCAAAGTGATAGATTTCTTAACTCCATTTTTTCATATTTTCTATATCTGATGAATGTTTCCTTCCCAGCTGTTTGTTTAAGATCATGTAGAAAGTCAACATTTTGATTTTAGCATCATTTGTCGTTATAGTTACATGTGCTCTCCATTTTATTTGTTGCGGTTGTTTGAAGTCTTCAAGTCATGTGGATTTTGTTAATTTGGTAAAGCACTTTGTTTGTGATGGTGTAGCTCCAGTCTGTTGCGTCTGTTTAAGTCCTTGATTCCTTATGCTGCCTTTTAATATTATTTATTTCGGAATTTCAACGCTACTAACGTTAATAGGGAAAATATTTTCAAAGGAGCGCTATAACGAATCAGCATTAATCCGGGTAGCGTTAATAGGGTATTACTGTATACATGACGCCTTCTTACCCTTCTCCCTTCGTATCATTCCCAACCCTACTTCGCGAGATCAACGTCATCGCCATTGCGTCGATAATTTGTTACGCTCACAGCACTGATCTGTAAACTATTATCAAAGGCAAATGGTGATTATAATTCATTTGCTGAATTAATAATGAACTATAGGCGAACGAGAGGACGTCTCATTAATATTACGTCGCACACAGGCCGGTCTGATGATGCATTAGTCTTTAATAATCTCGCGCGTAGCTCATTTTACAAATAGGTTTGCCATAACGTTAGTTCCTTCGCCTTGAGACGACGACCCGCTTTCATAATTCTTTCCCATTATCTTATTAATCATTCGTCAGCAATGTGCCTATGTATCTATTTGTCTGTTTCCGAGGAAACTCACATAAGTAATCGTCGATTGAAATGCTTGTCTCTGGCTCCCTCATTATTTACCGAATGCCAATGCAGTTTTCAATGGAGCTTTCTGTATGCATGTAATAGCGAAGGAAAGACGCTTCCGGTCTAGATAGTAGAACGTCTATCATAGGCGCAAGGAAGCAGCAGTTCCAATTTGTCTGGCCAGTTTGGGAAGGTGAAAAGTTAGAAATTAGAAAGGAAAAAGGAAAAAAAAAAAAGAAGCAGTAAGGTCGGTTTTTAAGGGAATTCCAAAAAAGAAACACTATTTAAATATTTTGAAATATATTTTCCACAAACCCCACATTTCATATTGTTCATATACTTTCACCATTCTTGAGGCAGTTTCATGATTCCGTCGACCCAGAACAGCGTCTTTCTGTGTAACGAACTCGTCTCAGCCTTTTACAGAAAGCTTGTCTACTCCCCATTAACAGAATATTCTAGGGATCAAAAATGCAAGTTCTGGTGAGTATATCGAGCGTAGCAGGATATTCCGGCCAATTTCTTTGCAAAGAAATATGCAGAAGACTACATCCTACAGCTGTGTCAATACAGGATGCCACTCATAAGTTTTGGCCCTCAGAGAATACTTGTCTGAATTCAAATATCGTTGAAGCAGTCTTTAATACACTATGCTCTTCCAATCATTCCAAATATACATCATCACTTTTAAACGCAAACTGATTGCTTAATGTTTTCCCCAGGGACATTTCCGCTCCACATTGTTTTAAACTATCTATTGTTCATTGCTTGTGATCGCTATTTTAAAAAAAATTGTTCGTTATTTATTGCGTTCGACCAGAGGATCATGGATGGAAATAGGGTTAATTATTTTTTTAAGTTAAATTATATATTTTTCTTTTCTGATATAAATGCATTCCATTCATAATATTTTTCATTTTCAAATACATTACAACGCTCCCATCTGACATATGTCTCAATTTTGCATTTCTCTATTCATGTGACCAGGATTATTTATAATCAGCATTTCAGTTTTGTTATTATCAACGACTGCCAGGATACCGGAATCTTCTCGGTTTTCCACGTCAAAATAACCACTTCTCAGCTAAACCAGTCACTTACAAACAATACTGGCAACATCTAATTAAACGACATGTGTGTTTTTGGCTGTATGGGTACACCTCCAAAAATCCAGATGACCAGAGCTTAGCAGCTGATTTTTCCTCTGATCTTGCTTTTACAGCTCACTGTTAGTAAGAATCGACAAGTAACATTCAGTACCTTTAAAACTAAGCTATAAACATTTCCTAATCATGGAGTAGACCCTGGGATTTCTCTATTCATAATGAGCGGTTGTGCCCTCATTGGGGATTCTTAACTGGAACGTCTAATGGAATACATGCTCATTCCAGACATCAAGCGGACCTGTTATATACGAGCCATGGCTAAAGATTCTGGAAAAATAGTCGATACCTTGTACCGATGCAGAAAGCGACCTCATATCTGGCAAGCTCTGTCAAGAGACAGATCAGAAAAATATGGAATATTGTTGCTAGGTCCTCTCTTCCCTACCTTGTTCAAAAGCGTTTGCGTGTCTATGTGGGTGGTGGATTGCTTCTCATCATACAACCCATTTCTTGCAAACGAATCATTGCAAGACTCTCGATAACCTATCGTTATTTCAGGGCAAATGTCCTGGCGAAATACATTATTTGGGTTCTCCTATCCAAGCCTTCTAAGCTAGGACCTAACAAAACGCGTAGAAAGAATCTCCACGTCCTTGTTCTATTCGTATTCCTTGGTAAAAGTTCCACTCTGACAGCTTCTTCCACTGAACTATTGCATTGTGGTACAAACTCCTGAAAGGATGCTTCCCCGATCATTACTATCTTAAGCTCTTCATGTCTCGCCTCAACAGGTTATCTCTCCTAAATATCCTAATATGCACCGCTCATACAAGCTCAAATATTAGGTTGGTGCAAAATAATGACGTAATAATGTCGTTTTTTGACGTATTTTTTAACGTCAAAAAACGACATTATTACGTCATTATTTTTGCACCAACCTAATATAAACCCTCTGCCTTGAGTGACACTTTGGCCTTGTATTGGATGGAAATGGTTCTCAAAAAAGTACAGCATCTATTTCTAATACTCATTTTCTTCCGTTGTCACAGTGCATACACAAATCATTTTGAAAAATGCGTTTCAGTATTGCCTTTACGTATCATATATATCAGACAAATGTGAAATGGAAACACGTATTCGAACGCCGTCTACTGAACATTGCTAAGAGCTTTCTTTTCAACCCTCAAAATTGCTTATTTGTCTAAATAACATGTAAAATACATACACACACACACACATATATATATATATATATATGAAGAAAAATATACTGAAAAACAAAACAAAAATCCTAATATGCGATTATGCTGTTTTAATGTTTAATGTCAACGTCGGACGTTTCGGTCTAATAGACCATCTTCAGGACATATTCATATATATATATATATATATATATATATATATATATATATATCCATAATAATAGAAAAATACAATTGAAACTATGTTTTCATGTGATTCTTTTTTTGTTATCGTTGTTTATGGAGTCAATGAATTATAATTTATTAATAGATTCATTTTCTACGGTTTATCAACCCTTTGAAGTTTATTTAAAGGCAGAACATATTTTTAGACAGAAGGCATTTTTAGATAATAATTGTGTAGTGATACAAGTCTTACTAATTAACCCATAGCTGGAGGGAGAAGAGATAGATTCATACCTAATCAGAATTTGATAAAGAAACTAAAAACAACGTGAATATAAGGTGGGGGATCAATTCTATATTAAAATCAATATATAAAATTATCCCTCACTTTGTGGCCACGGCAGTTTCTATACATTTATATCTCAGTGATTGTAAATAAATCTAAAAAATAAAAAATATAAAAAATAGATGTATAGGTAATCGGTATTTCATTGATTGTTTCAGTATTTACGACTTGTCAACCCTTTGCGCGTTATTTAAAGCCAGAAAAGATTATTTTGTAAGAATTTTTTTTTTTGAGATAATAATGGTAACGTGGTACAAGACCTACTAAGCGGGGCGTGGGGAGATGGATTTATCCCTTTTTCAAGGGTTTTTGTCCGTAAGGGAATATAAGAAATCCGGCTGGAATTGGAACACGGCTCTCTGATTAATAATTATCCATTGTCCCACCCGCACATCTTAGAATACCTGGAATTCCCAAGTTATTACATTTCTAGGTACGTGCCAGGCTCGTCGTTGCTTAACTTCGGTGATCGTACGGGAACCGATGTTTCAACGTGATATGGCCGTAAGTCTTCAAATGAATTCAGGAAATGAATTCAGGAAACCAAGTATCGATTCTCATCCAATACTTTCAATAATGATATTTCGGGTGTCTGCAGAATTCTTTTTTTGATCCACGATTGGAATCTCAGATGGGACTACGACGAAAAACTGTCTTTTTCGTTCTATCAACAGAAGTGCCTTTAATTTAACGGTTATTGAAGAGGAATATAGAATCAGACTAGTCGTTCATTTCGCACTAATTCCTATAACTAGGGCATGAAATGTCTTGTTAATTTTAACGCCCCAAACCGAAACTGTTCTCTTTTAATCGCCTTAGTGAACTTTACTTTGTATTCTATTATTATGGCTGATGCTAACCTTCATAAGAGTGACACCTTGTAGCTTCTCGGGCTAACGTTTTCATCTGACATGATGTGGAAATATTATATTGATGGGGTTATTGGGTCTATTGCTAGGACACATGGTTTGCTGTGTCGTGCTAAACAATTTTGTCATTAGAATCTATCTTACACAATTATAAGTCTACCAATCGTCTACACGTTAAATATTGTTGCCACATCTGGTGCTACAGCTAGGTATTTAGGGATTCTTGATAAAATCCAAAGACGAATCTGCAATGCTACCTGATATGACTTTGCATCACGGATTCAGTTACTTTTATTTTTTTTTTTTTTTAAGCGTTTCACCCCAAGCAAGGCGGTAAGCCACTAGGACGCAAGGGGTTACAGAAAATTTGGAGCAAGATCAGATAGGAGTGATAGAGGAAAGGATGAAGAGAAGGGTAGTGGATAGATCAACGCAACTGGAGATACAGAGGCCAGTGAGAGAGAGAGAGAGAGAGAGAGAGAACCGGAAACCCCTTCCTAAACAAGAAACAATCATGAGAATACTGACGAAACTCTTTCGCATCTAGTCAAAGACATTCAATTTTCCCTTTTTTTTCTGATTTTTCTCTCGAAACGCGACCATCAGATAGGTTAGAATGATTAGGACAAAATGTGTAATTATCGGCAAACACACTGACGTGTAGGGGGAGAAAAAAAATACAATAGAATTAAATTTCAACATAAAAAAAAATAGAAAAATAAAGAATTAAAGAAAATCGAAAAAAAGATTAAAATGAGTTTTCGGTAGAGCGAAATTATACTCACACAGTGCGGCGAGTGTTTGACCGCTTTCTTCATGATAACAAGTGAATGTACAGCATACCTTAAGTCCAAGCATCGACCTGGTGGGGGGGGGTGATCAACGGCCAATTCACCACCCTCACCAAATAGTGGGCTTGGGAGGCAAGCTTTCAATAAAAATTAAGAACAACAGGAGAAAGAATGGTGGCGAAAACAATTCCAAGTTCAGAAATTTTATCAAGCAACAATAGTCGGCCACTAAATCTTTTCCGCAACCTTAACTTAGATCTCCGTGCTTATAAATATTTCATGATAATTTTTTCCTGAGGAACTTTCCTCTTTGAGACCTCGGCTTTGTGAATATAAGCGCGGTACCAGATCGGCAGCCATGTTTTATCTGTTATAGTTGAAAATGCTAGATATAACCGCAAATTCTGTGCTAACAGTTTCATATCACGCGCATCTCGCTTGTGGAACTCTTTCCCGGGATCTTGGTTTCCAATCAACATTGATCTTCAAAAATATAAATTCAATGTCAATCGTTATCTTTTTAATTCCCGTTCTTTTGTTTTTCTTCCTTCTTAGTGTACGCGCTCGGGTGCCCACATTAAACCGACCTTGTGTCACATCTTGTTCTAGTGGGGGAACGAGTAAATACCTTCTTAGTAATATTTTATACATCTTCTTTCCCACACAGTAACCCGTTCCATACGAACGGCTTTAATACTTTGCTTGGTGAGAAATGATGAAAAGAAGACGGAATGAATAGACCAAATTCTTATCTCACAAGCTTAAATAACAGTTTTTGCTATCACCTAGGAGGCACGGTGGATGTATAGCGGCTCAGACTGAGGAATCGGAGAGCCGAGTTCGAATTTCAGTCGAATCGTTTACATTCACTTACGTGCTAATGAATCCTCTCCTTCTCCCCCACCCTCAGCTATGCGTAAGTTGCAGGATAGGCCAAGTTCTGTTGCTTTGAATGGCAACTGGTCTACCGCAGAAAGAAACGGAAACCTACTGCGGGGGAAAAAACTGCCTAAGCGTGTATGCCGCATGGTACATAACTAATCAAGACGGAAAGCTGTGTATAGAAAACTTTAGGGAAAAAAAGGGGAAACAACTCCATTATATTGAACTAAATATCCATGACAAATCACATATAATAAAGGATACGATATATATGCCATAGAACTCTCACAATTTGAAATGAAAAATAAAAAAAAACAACATAATTAAACCAAGGCAAAATAATAGAATAAAACTTGAATGAGTTATTCACTCATTACGTGTAATAATTGCCACAAAGAGTACATCGGAAAAACGTCAAGGAATTTAATCAAAATATTATATGAACATAAAAGGGATTTTTTACAAAAGACCACACTAAATGACTTAGTTGCTCACCATAATGAGTTCGACACGAAATTTTGAATTAAAAATGCTACTTTAAACGAAGGAGAAAAAATGGCTAGGAGGAAAATGTTTAGACAGTGCTTTAATCGCTACCCGCCGGGGTCAGGGTGGACCTGTGAAAAGTAGCAATTAAATGGTGGTTCCAAGTTCCTCAAAACCTCCTGATCAGAGACCTTGCTGTCGGATGTAGTTTATCCTCTTACCCAGGACACACACACGATATCCCCCCCCAAAAAAAATTGCTTGAGGATAGAACAGAGCTTGGTACTTTAATTCAATTTAATTCAAATAATTATATTGAAATTTTCGGCTCTTGTTTTGAAACATGAGAACTCTTATGTAGCGTTGGAATCATATTTTTAAATAAAAATAATTATATATATATATATATATATATATATATGTATGTATATATTATTATTATTATTATTATTATTATTTAAATAATAATTTTCTGCCAACTTTAAGGTCCTGTGCGAGACACAATACGTAGTTAGTAAAAACGGCAACTTTCAAAAATAGGAGCAAAATTTTAAAACGAACAACGCACTCGTTTACAATTTCAGTTACGAAAATCACAAAACAAGTATTGCAAAAATTTTCCTTTTGTTCGCCTTTTATTAGGTGGGTTAAAAGTTTCCAGAGGTAGCAAAAAAAAAAAAAAAAAAGAAAGAAAATATTTCACAAATTTGGTAAGAAAAGGATTCATATACAAAAATTAATCCCTTCAAAAATAGAGAAAACGGGACAAACTTGCAGAAAGGAATAGCAAAATAGTACAAGGCAGAATTTTTTCAAATAGCATCAACCTCAGTTCTTGACAGTTTACACAAACATCTCGAAGAGGTTTTGTGTTTTAAAGTTCACTTGTATGGTCTTGGTGGGAAAATTTCAGTTGTAGGTGTATAAAAATACAACCTAGATGATTATACATAGACGTTGTCATTTTTTATATATAATAAAAGAAAATGTTTGTAATACGTGTATATATAAAAGTTCGTAGGGGATATACAGCGGCATTCAGATAAATATCAAACTAGATCAATGAAAGTCCAACAGATCGAAACACGTACCCCGAAAACTTATCATACACGCCGACCTCAAAATATGCATGCATATATATATATATATATAATAGACTTCGATATATATATATATATATATATATATATATATATATATAATAGACTTCGATATATATATATATATATATATATACTTAGACTATATATATATATATATATATATATATAATAGACTTCGATATATATATATATATATATATATATATATAGACTTCGATATATATATATATATATATATATATATAATAGACTTCGATATATATATATATATATATATATAATAGACTTCGATATATATATATATATATATATATATATATACTTCGATATATATATATATATATATATATATATATATATATATATATATATATATATATACTTATATATATATATATATAATAGACTTCGATATATATATATATATATATATATATATAATAGACTTATATATATATATATATATATATATATATAATAGACTTCGATATATATATATATATATATATATATATATATATAGAATATATATATATATATATATATATATATATATAATAGACTTCGATATATATATATATATATATATATATATATATAGACTTCGATATATATATATATATATATATATATACTTATATATATATATATATATATATATATATATATATAATAGACTATATATATATATATATATATATATATATATATATATAATAGACTGATATATATATATATATATATATATATATATAATAGACTTCGATATATATATATATATATATATATAATAGACTTATATATATATATATATATATATATATATTAAGAAATGGACAAAGTCCGACAATTTATTTATTAAAGACATTTTTTATGTTTAACGTTCTTTTTTATAGATACAAGTATTTAAGTAAATGCTCTGTTTATAATAAACAGTATTAAATAACATTTACCGGCCTGAATAAAGGACGAATATTTTCTATGAAAATTTCTCGGACATTCAGGCCGGTAAATGTTATTTAATACTGTTTATTATAAACAGAGCATTTACTTAAATACTCTCTCTCTCTCTATATATATATATATATATATAGTGATTTTCTAAGCGTAGCATAGATGTGGTTCAAGGTCGAAAGTATAGGGCACTTAGTGAGGATCGAACACAATACTCAGTCGTACTTGTTCTAGCGAGATAAACTTGCTTAACTACTAAACCATATATATTGCACCTCGTTTTAATTGTTAAGCAAGCTTGTCTCGCTAGAACAATTACGACTGAATAGTGAGTTCTATCTAACTGGGTGTCCCCAAAGTTTCGGCCTTGTACCGTATCTAAGCTACGCTTGGAAAATCACTATATATCTATATATATCTATC